TTCCCTCCCTTCCCTCCATGCCCCCTACCCGCAGGACACTCACCTGCCTCAGCAAAGCTCAGGATCTCGTATTCCTGCAGCCCCATCCCAGGCCGGGCCGGGCTGTTTCGGAGCATCCCTGGGAAGGCGGCGGCCGTGTCCGAGCGCTGCGCTCGCATCCTGCGGAGCGCGGTCAGCAGAGCCCCCCGGGCCGGCGGCTGCGGGACGCTGGGCCGGGCTGGCAAGCGGAGCTTGGCCAGGATGCTCCGCTTGGCCAGAGCCAGGAGCGCGTCCCGCTGCGCTCCGGGAGCCATCGCGGCCACTCCGCAGGCAGGGCACCACCCGCCCTCGGCTGCCGCCGTCCGTAGGAGGCTCAGGAGCAGGAGGGTCACGGTGACCGTCATGTCCAGGGCGAGAGGTGACAGCGTGGGAGTTCCAGCAGTGTCCGAGAAGCCGAGTGGGATGAGCCAGCGGCAGAGCCGGGGCCGGGGAGCGGAGCAGGGTGGCAGAGCTGGACTGAGCGGGAGCACGGAGCGAGGATGGGCTCGTTCTCCTGACGTGGCCACAAATATTGGCTGATCCCGGGCGAGATAAACGCCCCTGCGCTCCCCCGGAGCCGCCCGGGCGCGGGCAGCGCGGTGCGGCCGCCCCGGTTAAGGTGGAGCCGGGCCGATGGTGCTGCTGCTCGGGGGGCGCAGAGCGGGGACATCGAGGCCAGCCCGGTCCCACCTCGGTCCCACACCGGCGGTTCACGGGCAGAGACGTGGTGGGGGCTCCCGGGGACATGGCGGGTACCCAGGGTGTACTGGAGGCCCCCGGTGCGATGTGGGGACCACGGAGGTGGGGGATTCTCGGGGGATGTGGGATCCCCGGGGGCGGGGGGATCTCTGGAGGTCGGGGATCCTCAGAGAAAGGGGATTCCGGCGTGTCGAGAGGTCGTTGGAGATGGGCGATACTGGAAATGGAAGATCCCGACCAGTGAGGGATTCCCGGGGGATGGAGGATCCCAGGAAATGCGGGGTACTCAGAGAAATGGAATCCCAGGTGGCTGGGGGTTCCTGGCGGGATGAGGGACCCTTGGGGACAGGGGATCCATGGGGGGGATGAGAGATCCCTGGGAATGAGGGATCTCCAGAGATGCGGTATTCTCGGGGATGGAGGATCCCGGGGGATGTGGGATCCCTGGGGAATTTGGGATCCCCAAGGGTCTGTGGGATCCCTGGGGAGATGTGGGATCCCCGGGGACGGAGGATCCTGAGGGCCGTGGGATCCGTGGTGATACGGGATCCCCGAGGAGATGTAGGATCCCTGGGGAATTGGGGATCGCCGGGGATGGAGGATCCCGGGAGATGCGGGACCCCCGACGGGGGGGCGGGGGGGGGGGGGGGGGGGGGGGGGGGGGGGGGGGGGGGGGGGGGGGGGGGGGGGGGGGGGGAGCTGCGGGGACTATTTGTCGTGCGGAGCCGCCGTGCAGAACTCTCCAGAAGGGGGAGGGGGAGCGCGCGGAAGGATACGG